CCAGCATCAAGCTGACATCCTGCACCCCCTGCACTCTCCAGATAGAACTCCACAATTTTTCATAGACATGATATAGAACTGAACATATACACCACTTGTGTGCAAAGTTAAATCAAAAGCCAAGCAAAAAGGCAACTTCTCCTTGCTATGCTCTCTTCTTGTTCATGAAAATGAAATGAGGTGTGCACATAGACTAACATATTGTTCACTTTAGGCAATGCCACAACTCCTGCTTACTACCCCTGATGGGGATACTCCTAATATTCCTTTAAGGTGTTTTACATATTTTTCCAGTGTAACAAAAAATGCACATAGATTTCTGACTTGAAAGATTGCTAAAGGACCAAGACTGCTAGTGTGATGGATGAAATTATAACAATGGTGTCTCATTTGTGATGAAGAAGGAATCTGTTCACTTTTCCTATTTTAGTACCAACAATGGACTTTCTCATCACGTAAAGGAGTCTTAACAATACATTTACTAACTCTGAATTTCTTATTACAGCAGTAAATTTAAGACAGAATTCTGAGCTTTGAAAAGTTCTGCAATGCTACTGAATCAGATTTAAAAAAAAATTATACTGTGACTTCACATATGGCCTGATGAAGCTGAGTTCTCTTCCTTCAGCCCATACGAGAATTCCAATTCTAACAAAGTTTTCTTGTAATTATTATTTCAGAATAATTTAGATTGTCTTTTAATTCTGATTTCTAACGTACTAATTCAAGGAAGACAGAAAAAATACTGTTACTAGAGGCATATTTTCATCCTTCCTCAAGTGGTTTCACCAGGTGACCTAGTGTCAAAATTCAGACAAAAACCAGACATCTTTTGAGCATCTCCATATCACTTCTGTACTGAAACACATTTGTCAATCTCTCTATTAGCAGAATGTCTTACACATACGAAAATTATGGTAGCAGTGTAAAACTTGACTACAAATACAAACAGAATGAGAGTCCAAATAAACTTTAAAATTCCAGAGGCCTTGGCAGACAGTGCTTGTTCAGAGCCCTGAGATCCCTTACATACACCACGTTATATTTACTACTGGGAGGATTAGCGGAGACCAACACCAAAAGTGTACTGCCATTGCTAAAGCTGCCAAACTTAGGGAGTCTCCACAAAGTATTTCTGAAGCATAAAATTTCTGTGGAACTGTATTGCACCTAATTGTCATCTCAGCATCTACCAAGTGAAGCTCAGGTCCTTGGCGGAAAAAGACTCCAATATAATTAAGGAATTGATTCTCATTTTCATGGTGTAGCAGTCAGGAACCAGGCTCCTCTGTAGCACCATTTTGTGTAGACTACCAGCCACAACATCAGGACCATTGCTGAGTTTGCAAGACTTCAAAGCCCAGGCTCCTTTACTGAATGCATTCACCAAAACTGGCTCTGACTTTAAAATTTTCTCAGCATTCTTCTTCACATTTGCAGATAATTACACTTGTTTCTAAGGTGACCAGTAACATCAAATGAGAAGAAGGCCTTTCTCACTGTATGGACACACATCAGAGAAACATATGCTCCTTCGATGGAACCAGGGAAACAAAAGGAGGGTCAGATAAAAGTACGTAACCTCAAGGGTTCTCACTCAACTTTTTTCCCCTGTACTACAGCCCTAATTCCACATTTCTATTTTACATCCTTCTGATCCCATACTCAATTATATCTTAGGATGTACCTATCACACAGACACATATGTAAGTAGATAGCCACCACAGACTCACATGTGCGATATCCAAGGAAAACCTGCCAGAGAACCAGGGGTTGTTGCAATTCCTCTTCCCACATTGGCTCTGACTACCACCAAAGCACCCACTGCTGTTATCACTGGCTTTTCCCTCCCAACAGGCTGCCAGCAGTTGTTCCTCACTTGCCTGAAGAGAGCAAAGCATGGAGTGGAGGTCAATGGAAACAGCTTCTCCCATTCACCCCTAGATGTTGCAAGTCAACAGGTGCAGCAATTTCCAGTTAAATGTCACTGTCACTGTGGGCAGCCCAGTGCAATACAGCACATTCAAAATCATTTAGTATACTCATCCAGCCACATAAAGGAGTTCTCAGATCAGACTGGACAGAAGAAAAATAACCGAGAAGAAAACAAGAATACTGCCAAGACAGGTTCTTCTCTGAAGGAAACAATTCCTGAAACAACACGTCTGTACAGGAAGCTACATTCTTTTCGTGAGTTACTGATGTGTTGGCTTCACTTTTCAGTTTCATTGATACCAGTGTCTTTTCCCTATGAATAGCCCAAGATTCCATGTCCTGAAACAGTATCTTTTTCAGTAAAGGTCCTGTATGGCCCCATATGTTGGTTACGTGGAGCTGATAAAGGCAATTCAGTTTCTTTTAAGAATGTGAAGTTATTCCACATCTGGAATAAAACAACTTCCATATGTTTTTAAACAAAACAAACCCAACAGAACCCATGTCAAAAGAGCTACCACAAAATAGCCTCATGACTGAAGCACCTACTCAGATTTTGGTGGTGTATTTGAATCCCTGTTCTAAGCCCTGAAGAAGGGTTTCAGATGCAGTCTTTCCATGCGCAGAAGAACACTATCACTGCTCAACTATCTTACAGGTATGCCTTAAAAAAACCATAAGCATCTTTAAAGTAAATTTCTAGAAGGTTGGAGAGAGGACAATTCACTGACTGTGATGCAGACCCATGCAGCAATTTACACACAAAATTTATGCATGAAACTATCACCCCCTCATGTGAAGAAAAGTTAAAAAATATTTTCTCAACATCAGGCTTTATGGTTATAGCTCTGTGTGAGACATCCAAATAATGTGATGTTTAGCAAGAATTAAGCCTCAGTCACAATGAGTTTGTTCTGCTAAGCACAGAATTTTTGGCAACACCAATCTCTATTCCTATATATTCAATATACTTTGCTCAATGACTACATATTCATGTCATGTGTTGGGCTAGTTTCCAGGTATTTCTTAATTCAATCCTTGATTTTTCTACCAAACATGTTATCAGGCAGTCATTGAATCCAGGGTCACCAGAGACCACCAAAGAGGATGATATAATCCGCATCCAGGAAAAAGGCCAAACCCAGCTCTTACTGATGCCCCTATGCTTTGATTCTGAAGGGAAACTTGCATCTTATTTTTCTCTGCTTAGCAAGATATCAGCTGTTTCAAGTGATATCAAGAAACCAAAAGGGGTTTGGGACAGAAAAAGGCACAAGGGATTAAAAAACCCCAAAACAAAACCCTAAGGAAGAATAAGCAAGAAGGCATTGAAATAAAATCTTGACAAATCTTCACTACTTATGCAAAAAGTCGTCAATCTTAATTGCAACTGAACTGCTGTCAAGAGAAATCTCTGCCAAATGGAGCTGATTACACTTCAAATTAAAATAAAAATTAGTCATTGATATGCTGTGGAACATGACACTTTGCATTAGTACTATTTCTGAAAAGTTAACATCCCTGGCTAAACATCCCTGGAAAACTCAAATCCCTATGCCCCTCTGGCATGCTGCTTGATAGCTCAAACAGTCCTGTGCACTGTTGAGAGTAAGTAAAGAAAGACTTCCCTTTAAATGCTAATGAAAATGTGCCAATGGAAATTAAACACTGATTACTCGTCTTAAATTTTATATTTACTGAAGCTGGTAAGTGATCAGCTCTCCTTCAGTGCAATAATGCCATGCTTTGCCAGAGAAGTGGAACTTAATATTTAAGAGCAGAGCCCAAGGCTCAGTTCAACAGTATAATTCTTGTGCCTCCTGATTACTGGACTAGACCTGGGCATAAGTTGAAAGAGACTCTTCAACTTGAGTTCTGTAAAACCAAATGAGAATTCTGTGGAATCTGTAGCCAATGAAAAAACCCCCAAACTTACACTGCTCCGTCATGCATAAAAATGAAACCAAATCCAAGAAGCACTGGTAGATTCTCCTTCTATAATTACTAGTGTACTTTCATGCTGCCCCTCTCAGCCCACAATTAATTCATGGTGGCCTGGCAGGGCAGAGAAGACAACTGCCAGTGCAATCAACTCCTGCAGGACTAAGAAAAGCTGATTCTTTCAAGTGTGCTCTAAGGAAAACCGCATTATCTATGGGCCTGTTGTGCAGGACAGGGCTGACATTTTACACAAACACAGCCCCTAGAAGAGGCCACGTGAACTGAGTCTGATTACCTTGACTTCATGAAACCTTTCACAAACACTGAAGTTCACAAGTACATTTCAGCAAACTACAGGAAAAGCTATGGAAGTAAAAATTGGAAATAATAATGGAAATAATATGGAAATAATAATTGCAAAATAATAAAATATACTAATTACAAAATAATGAAAGAGGGTTCAAGACACACCAGGAGTAGTTGTCTTGAATTATTCAATGCCAGATGAGTTTTCAAGCACACCCCAACTGCCTTGCAGGGAATACTCATGTTTCTTAACTTCCTTTCAGATTAAATACCTCCTTATTTTGCAACAAGAGCTTTAAAGGTCATGATAGCATCAGCACGCATTGCTACACAGTGTAATAACCAGGTTCTCTTAATGAGGGACTATAGAGTCCCTAAACTTCTGATATAATCTCTAAAACATAAATGACATAATAATTCAGACTGAGAAAAATTATGTTAATTATAAACACCTGAAGAATACGGGACGTGGGACACTGAGCCAAGTTGTACAGTGCTATTACAGCGGCAAATTGCTCCATGGCTTAACACCATGTCTTTCCTAGAAAACTGGAGGCATATTGGCTGGACTCTGGGTGCTATTTTCAGAGAAGTGAACAGACAGCATTTAAACCAGCTGTTATCTATCTGTTCAGTATTGATGATCTAATTTGGAAACAGGATTAAACTGCACGCACAGATTAATACACTGTTGTGCAGTTGCATGGATTTGTAATTGTCATGACAACCAGCAGAAAATGTATCCCAATAATCCTCTACGAGCAGATCTGTCTCCATGCAGCATTAAGAAGATTTATCACTAGCACAGACATACTTACAATTATTTCATTGCAGATATTGAGAGGGGTATAATCTCTAACCCTCTCTGCATCTAAAAATACCAATTTACAACCAGAAGAGAGGCTCATCATATGAATGAATGCTGAAAGTAATGAAAATCCTTGGAAGCTGTTGGAAATGTATAATTTCTGAGAAAATATTAGTGTTTTCCAAGTAATTTTTCATGGTTCTGAGTGTGCAAATTTGTATTTATTTTATAAGCATAAAAAAATCAGTATTATCCCTATACTTCCCACATCAGGCATAGTCTTATATTTCAAGCAAGATTTCTATTTTGGAGTTATCTTTCTTGCTAATTTGTTTTCCTTGCAATAAGAAGAGTCTTTGGTTTTATGCTTCAGGACAGAAAGTCAGAAAGCTGGACAGTGTTTTCAGTTCCATTACTGCCTGCTTGTAGAATTACTTAGTCTGTGTAACCATAAAAAATACAGAAAATTAAAAAGGGGAAAATAAAAGCCATTTACGTACTTTATAGGAAGAGTTAGAGGCTGAGCTAAATAATATTTGCCAAGTGTCCCAAAAGAGAGCTGTCTATGCATGAAGGACTACTTTTTTTCCAAACACAAGGAAGAGCCATACGGGAGGTTTTCTCAGTGTTAGCCAAGATTTTCAAAGGTTGAAGTTTATTTCCCACCTCACAGTAAAAATCAGGAAAAGAAGCAAACATGCCCCACTTCCAGGGCTTCGGAATAACACTGGAGGCTACAACTGGCCATGAAAAAGTTGTGTGGTATTTGCAGCTGTAAGCAGTTAATCCTTCTGAGAGCACCTTTTGGACATGTATCTTACAACCACCTCAGTTACATGTGCTTCCCCAAGCAAAGCTCTACAGCTGCCACGATGCTGTGTCTGCTTGGGTCAGTGCTGTGTAACTCGTGGAGCAGGAACTTGCAGTGGCTCCACTCCATGGAGCATCTCATTTCCTCAGAGGTGAAATCCAGAAAATCCTGCTATGAAGTTCAACCTACAGGAACCAAAGAAAAATCCTTTTTAGCAAAGGGCTAATAGATCAGTTTATTGCAATGTGGAGGCAGTATGAACAACCAAATATTTTCAAGTGCCACTTAATTGCCTTCAAAATTGCCTAGTAATATCAGAATGTACTATAATGAATTATTTACATCTGCAATAGTCCTGTCTTAGTTTACAAAATCACTATTTTCATCTGATAAAGCTATGGACTCCACAACTGGAGAATATTTTTTAAAATACCCCAGAAGGTGCGATTTAAAAAAAACAACTTGGAAAATATTCCAAACAAGCAATTGTTAAGAATAGGAATATTGGCATATTCAGGCATCTTTATTTTTTAGTTCCCAAACAGACCTACTATCTATCTACCTAGCTATCTATCAATCTATGAAGTCCTTGCCTCTCGTTGTGGGATAAGATACCATTTAGAAAAGAAGTCTCAGTTGAACTAAAGGCACTAGAAGATGGATGATAATATATAAGTGGACAGGAAAAATAAACTCAATCAAATTATTTGCTCATTTACAGTCATGAGATTGCTCAGCTCCTGGAACTGGTATAGATCTGAGAAAATATTTAAAAAGTAAACACATAGTGCAAGAAAAAATATCATATATATAATTTAGGACCCTTTTGGATAGACTTATACATCTTAAATTCAGGTGGATTTTTTATATACATATAAACAAACACTCTTCTCTCTCTGAAAACAAGCATCAGCTTTCAGTTTTCTTCCTGAACTGGGACCATTTAAACATGCTGGAACATGTGTGTACCCATAATATCAACAAATCTATTGGTGTGAATCAACTGAAATGCCAGACTACATCCTTAAAGGAGCATTCTTCTGATACCTGCTGTTAGGGAAGTGACTGTGCCTGACACTCTGGAGCTATATGGAAAGATTACACTATCTAAGGAATAACAACCCAACCAGAAAATGTAGTAGTATGTCTCCACTCCTTCCATGGAGTCATGTATTTTGTAGGTCAAGCACAGGATGGGATTTCTTCGAATGAAAATATTTTTGCCTCAGGCTCCCGTTAGTTCTAAGTGTGAGAGAGTGTCAGATAAGACACGCGTTTCTCTCAAAGAATCTACATTTAAGTAACAAATGGAACCTACTCCCCGTCATGAGTACAGCCTCATGTTGCTCCGAGGGTTTTGAAAAAGCCTCAGCGTTAGGAAAATGCGGAATACTGCACCACCGGGAAATGCCAGAATTACAGAATCGTTAGGATTGGAGGGGATCTCTGGAGACCATCCAGTCCACCGCCCCTGCCAAGGCGGGGTAACCTGGAACACGTAACACGGGAACGCGTCCTGGTGGGTTTGGAATGTCTCCAGGATTCCTTTTCGCCAGGATACTTCCTCTAGGCAATCCGACTCACAAACTAGAACAGCAGCGACGAGCTATTACTGAAATTATCAGTAATAACTCCCCCAGCGGTATTTTAGCAGATGCTCGAGGGGGGGGTTCTTTCGCCGACACGCAGCTCCCGACGCCCGGTGCCCAGGCTGGCTGGGCTCCCTGGCGAGGGAAGCGCGGGTACCTGCCTCCCTCCGCCTCCATCCCCGGCTCCGCAGGGCCCGGCCGGTCCGGCCCTTCCCTTCCCGGGATCCCGATCCCGGGAAGCAGCGCCGCCGCAGCGCCCCGGCCCTTTCGTGCCGCCCGCCATTTGCTCCCCTCAGGCGTCCGCGCCATTTCCCCGCCTCCTGACACCGCTCCCCTCGCTGCCCGCGGGAGAGACCCCCGGCACCCGGCAGCCTCCAAACCTCGGACAGCTCCGGCCCCTGGCGGCGTCGACCAGCCTCCACTCCCCACTGGCACCTCCAGGCCGTCCCGGCCCCCCCCCCACCGCATCCCGGGAGCCACAGCTGTTCCCCCTTTCCGGCTCCAGGAGTTTTAAATTACAGACAGGCGTAGTTCCAAGGTACAACTCCCAGGACACGCGTCACACAGAGCTCCGGGGACCTGAAGCGCGTGCGTGTTTAGGGGGAAGAATTCCAACAGTGCATTGGGAATACGGAGCTCAGAGAGGTCTGTGTGTCTATACAGACATTGGGGGCAGAGAGGGGATGGCAAGGTGGCTTTTCCAGAGCTTCCACTCCCCCATCAACCTTCCCTCCTTCAGGATCAGCTGGTGCAGCAAGGAGGCACAAAGGACTTCACGGATGGGAGCATTTTGGGCTTCAGTCATATGGGAAGGGAATTACAGGGAAGGGGGGAGCAGAGCTGCCACTTGAGGAGAGCCTTTCTCCCTGTCCCTTCGGGGGAGGAGGGGACGAGTCATAGTCCCATCATACTCCCACCCAGGCTCATCGGGAATCTAGAGGGGGTACCAGTGGGCCCAAGACCAGAGCATTGTTTCTCTCCTACCAAATTCATGAACTGTTGTTGGAAAGGGGAGATCAAACTGAACGAAGAAAGAGCCCAACTGTGCTTACCAAACCACTGGCCTTGTTACCAATACCAAGAAACTGCTCAGTTGATATTGGACTTAAATTACCTAAAAGTAGGTTTCACTGGTCAGACCCACAGACAGATCCTTCCTTTAATTCCACAGAGACTGACTTTGTCTATATGCACAAATACCCCCAAAATTTCAGCGCTATGCAGCTAAGCAAGGAGGCCTGTCCCCTCCATGTTATCAAAAGACAAGCTGCTTATCAGAAGCCAGGTATAAATATAATAACTGATTTTATTTTCATGATTAACACTGGACCACATTCTTCCCTCTGCACAGAATCTCATCACAAATTACTTGCATCTCAGAAAACACAAAACATAATAAAAAAAGAATGCAAGTTGCATTAATCAAATGGCTTCAAAGTTTAATTGAGATCCATGTTTGTTTTGCAACAGTTTCTCAAAAGCTACAATGAAACATATTCTTGAATGAGATTAAATAAATGCACAAATCCCAGGAAATAGTTCTGCATTTGAACATGGAATATAAAAGCCTGATTTTAGCTAAGACCTACAAGATTACCAAGAGCATTAGGGAATGTCCTTGCAAAAATTCCTCCATTTAAGGCTTTGAAAATAGTTTTTCAGAAATGTGGAGCACCTCTAACCTCCAGCAGTAATTAAGAATTAGTAGTTCTTAGCATCCTTGAGCATAGAGATAGACAAGTATTTTCTAAACAAATCTAACTTTACAGTAAAGAGATAATAATCATATTAAAAATGAGACTGCTTCTTAACACTGGAAGCTGGCACTGTAATTGCCACTCAGTTGTTCCTAATGGATAAAACAAGTAATGCAACATTTAATGGTTGGTATTGTTTTATTGTCTATTATTGATTAAACTATTTACATTTCTACTTTTCAAACCACAGTTTAGCACTCATACCTATGGCTTTTACTTTTATGTTTAGCATATCTTTGTGTCAAGTGTCAGAATTTCTTTTCAAAAAACCCAAGAACCTGATACCATATAGACAAATATCTATATTCTGTTTAAACATATTCATTTTCAAAAACGATTATTTATAAAAGAAGAGTCTGGTGGTAGCTTTTTTCCAATTTGTGTTTGCCAAAGACTCTACCAAGTTTTTTCTGTTTTTAAGTGTCCCTTTTAGAGTGTCCTGCTGCCTCCATGTGGAATCTGTTCCCTCCCTCAGCCCCCCACCTCTAAATTTAATGCAAAAAGAAAACCAGTAGCTGACAATTTTAAGCAAAAATATAAAGCACTATAACATTACCTACATTGCCTTTTATAGAACTAAATTCTCAAAAACTCTAGAAACTTTTGGGAAATTTAACTAGTCAGTGCTGAAAAGGCACGGGATTTTTGTGCTCAGACACCTCCAGCAACAATGCTAATTTTAGCCCAGCCTGAAAGATCTGAAAATTCACAGGTACGTAATTGCCACTTACAATAGAAACCCTCAGATTTTAGTGATTCTCCTGCCACAGACACCCTGCAATACTATACAAGAGTTTGCTTCTACTGCAAGAGGAAAAGAGGTGAAATTACTCTTACATATACCCAGGAATGGTGTAACAATGATACAAAGCTATTCATTGCTAAAAACCTCACAAAGGTGTCCATGTCTGTGGTAGCTTCTGTTCCATGGCATTACATGAATGGGAAAGTTATTTTTCACATATGAGAGAAGTTTAATTGTACATGAAGAAAGCTAATTTTGGTCCACTGGTCCAGCTTCCTAAGGACAGCATATTGGAAAGGTGACCACTGACAGTTCAAAAACCAATGTAAAAGTTAACAAAAATAATTTGGTATTTCATTCCTAAACCTGCAGTGTCATTATTTGTCCTAGTCATCCACGTTTTCATTCTGCATGTCCACTAACTGTTGTGTTTTTAAGTCTTCAGCTTGTTCATGATGTTCCTTATCTGTATCATCTATTTGATTAGGTTCTTTTTCTTCTGCTTCTCCTTGATCAACACTTTGATATTCTACTTGTTCAAGGTGTGTTCCATCTATAAGTTCTGCCTGTACCTCTTCCATCTGTATTTGATTTACGTGCTCAACATGTAACTGCTCCACGTGAACTTCAGCACCTTGTTCAGTCTGAATGTGTTCAACTTCCAAGTAACTAATTTGCACCTGTTCTTGCAGTTCCTCCATCTGTGTGCCTTTGACTTGACTGTCCTGTATGAGATCCTGGTGCATCTGTTCCACAGTTACCTGTGCAGGATCCACCTGTACCTGAATTACTGGTAGGACATGGACTTGCTCAACTTGCTCTATTATTGTCATTGACGTTACTGGTTCAGCTTCCATAGCTTCCACTGGAAGAACCTCTTCTGTCACCAGTAGTTCTGAAATATTGTGCATTTCTTTGAGATGCCTTCTCAGCTCACTGCCTTGCATAAACCACAAATCACACAAGGTACAGTGGTTGGGTTTGTCACCAGTGTGTATCACCAAGTGATCTTTGAACTGATCCCAGCTGTTAAAAACGCTGTTACAAACCTGAAACAAAAGATACAGTATGTTAAACAGTGCCAACAGAAATATGACAAAGTATGGTGCCTCTCTGAGATCATGGCTTCACATAGTGTGGCTTCTTGCTACTTGGATTCAAAAAACATAGACATTAGATGTAAAAGCTGAGAAGCAAGCTTCAGACAAACAGAAGACCTGGTATTTATTTATTCATTTTTTAAGAACAGTGAGCTACTTTGAGTTGTGCCTGCATAGGACACTGACAAAATTCGTCAGTCAGTAGAGCATTTGAAGAAAAATAAAGCCAATATTCAGCAGTTTTCTTCTACATAACCCAGTTTAACCTCAAACTGCAGCCATTCTGTGAAATGATTGAGATGACAGCCTTAAATGAAAAGTAAGAGAAAGACGGAGAAGGGGGCTTGGGCAGGGGAAGAGAGACTTGGGGATTCACAGGGTGGTGAGTGATGGGAGTAGGGAGAGAGAGGAAAAGAAAGGGGGAAGGAAGAGAGCAAGGAAAAGAGCAGGGAAAGGTGGCAGGAGAGGGGAGAAGAGCAAGAAAGAATGAGAGAGAAGGGGGAAAAAGTGGGGACAGAGGAAGAAGAGGAAGGGGGTAGAAGGAGTGGGGAGGAGGGAAGAAGCATATGAAAGAGCATGAGAGGGAGAGGCAGAGATCGAGGTAGTGCATGTGAGAGCATGAGAACTTGCAGGAAAGCAGGAGGGAGCAAAAGAAAAGCAGGGAGATTGTCACAGCAGTGGGGCAGCAAACCAGCAAATAAAAATGCTACAACCAACTTCAGCTCTTTTATTTCCTAGCTCTTCAGAATTGCTTTTAAAAGTGAAGTAAAATTTATCTGAACAGCTTTTCAAATGACAGTTACATACAGTGACCAAGTACCCTAACAACCTCTACAGCATTTATTTTGCTTAAAAGACATTACAGATTGCCAGTGACGCATTTGAATATTTTGGATTTTTAGCTTTTTGTAGATTTTAGAGTAGCTATGTAGTAAATATAGATTTTTAATATAATTGTATAGTCTCTCACACTTTGAAATAGTAGTTTACACTCTATTTCCCCATTTCAGATCAAATTTTCTAAATTCTTTAGGCTTGTTTAGGCTCCTTTCAAGGTAGAATTGTAGAAAACATCTTCTGTTTAAGAATATTTGCACCCCAGGCCTGAACAACAAGATACCATCATAGTCTGGAACGCTGGAGAAGCTCCAAAGACAGTATGTGCCATGAAGAAGAGGAAGACGAGGAAGAAAGGGGTCTCAGGACCCCTGACTCAATTTCTGGACAGGCATGCTGGGGACAGATTTGGTGAGGAACTGGGGGACACATAGTTCTGGGATTGGATGGACAATACTATAAAATTGTAGAACCACTGGACACGGCGCGCGTGCATCTTTTCTGTACTCCCATGGTCAGAGAGCCTTCATTAAAGACCCACTCTATTAACTTATCTCTACTAAATTTGCCTGGAGTTTTTTTGGCTCCCAATCTTTAGGCAACACTACCATAAGTTGGAATTACTTTCCAGATAAAGTTAGTATGTTTGGTATCAAAGAGGATAATAATAAAATAAAAAATGAAATATTATTTTGTATTTTGAACTTTAGTGAAGCGTGCTCAGAAGTGGGAAGGGCCTAGGTCAGTGCATCGAGAACCTTGAAAAGGAAGCAGAAAGACCAGTAAAAGGCAGCCTACCCATAAGAATCTCTCTGATTATAAGTATTATGAAGCTCCACATCAGTAATTCCACATTTTAAACGGAGCTACTTAGATATAAGAATTTATCTGCATATTGTGTTTGAATGTGATCTTTATTTTACTAAAGTAGCTCTTGGAGACATAAGGCCACTCTCCTTGCCTTTCTTGTTCAGGCCCCCACTCCCTCGAAGGACGGAGGTATCTAGCCTGGGACTCTGCTACTTCCATTACCCACCTGACATTCGTAGAGCTTCTTTCTTCCCTTTTTGGCTCCAGCTCCAGACTGACAGGCCGTCAGGTGACATTTGAGCGTGCTATTCCTAGCAAAACGTTCATGGCAGTTTGGACATTCAAATGGTTTTTCACCTGTTAAAACAGACACAGGATTTGTAAATGTATAAAACCACCCAGTCTTCTGTCAGGTCTCTCTTCTTCCCCTTTCTTTCTCTTGTCTAGGTTGATAAATACA